AGAAAGAAAGAAAGAAAGAAAGAAAGAAAGAAAGAAAGAAAGAAGGAAAGAAGGAAAGAAGGAAAGAAGGAAAGAAGGAAAGAAGGAAAGAAGGAAGGAAGGAAGGAAGGAAGGAAAGAAGGAAGGAAAGAAGGAAAGAAAGAGAAGAGAGTACAATCAATAATCAATTCAGAATGGACCTAAATGTGAAAGCCAAATGCTTTAAATATTCAGAGAATAGAATGAGTAGAATAGCTTTATAACTTTGGGGTGGAGAAGGATTCCTTAAATAAAACACAAAAAGCACAAATCCTTAAAAAATGATAAATTTGAGACTACCTTAAAATCAATAACTTTTGTTTATAAAAGTACTATAAAATGTGTAAAATTACTGGCTAAAACTCAATGAAAATATCTGCAACTCAAGTAACAGAAAAGTTTAGCATCCTGAATATGTAAAGAACTCCTATGAATCAATAAGAAACAACACAAGAGAAAAAGCAATGCAAAAAAGATCTGTCAAGACATTTTACAGAATAAAAAATATAAATTGGGCATGATGGCTCACACCCACAATCCCAACACTTTGGGAGGCCAAGGCCAGTGGATCACCTGAGGTCAGGAGTTCTAGACTACCCTGGCCAACAAGGTGAAACCCTGTCTCTACTAAAAATCCAAAAATTAACCGGGTGTAGTGGTGCATGCCTGTAATTTCAGCTACTTAGGGGGCTGAAACAGGAGAATTGCTTGAACTTGGGAGGCAAAGTTTGCAGTGAGCTGAGATTGCGCCACTGCACTCCAGCCTGGGCGATATAGTGAGACTCCATCTCAAAAATGTATATATATACACACACATATGAATTGTCAATAAGTACACAAAAAAGATGCTTGACTTCATTCATAGAGAAATCCAACACCAATCCTTGGTAAGGCATACTATCACTGCTAAAGAGTCAGAAACCAACAAGTGTTGATGAGATGTGGAGCAACTAGAACTCTCATTCACTGCAACTGAGAGTATAAATGGTACTACTAATTTGCAAAACAGTATGATATTTTATTAAAAGTGCACAAATCTTAGACTCAGTGATTCAATTCTCATGTGTTTACATCCTAGAGAAACTCCTGAGGATGGCTTCCAGAAGACATGTGGGAAATGATCTTAAAGTATTGTTTTTATAGCAAACAAACAAACAAACAAATATAATTGGAAGCAATCCATTATTTATAGATTGGAGATAAATTGTGGGATATTCATGAACTACAGTTGCATGAATCAACGTGGTTGAATATAAAACACTACTGAGTGAAAAAAAGGTTATTATGTACTTTATTATGTATTTTTTAATTTATTTATCTATTTTTTGAGATAGAGTCTCGCTTTGTCACCCAGGCTGGAGTACAGTGGTGCAATCTCGGCTCACTGTAACCTCTGCCTGCTGGGTTCAAGTGATTCCCCTATCTCAGCCTCCTGAGTAGCTGGGTTTGTAGGTGTGTGCCACCACGCCAGACTAATTTTTGTATTTTTAGTAGAGATGGGGCTTTGTCATGTTGGACAGGCTGGTCTTGAACTCTGACCTCAAGTGATTTGCCTGCCTTGGCCCCGCAAAGTGCTGGGATTACAGGCGTGAGCCACCACAGCCAGCCTTTTATGTATTTTAAACAATATTGTGTATCTAACAAATCCATGATAGTATAATTTTGTTTATATAAATTATACCTTTCAAAAGCAGCAAAACCAAACAACATTTTTGTGGATACCTACATATGTAGAAATAGCATAAAAACATGCTAGCAAATGCCAAAGAAGATATTCAGAATATTGACTAGGCATGGGGAGAGACGGAAGGAAATGGGTTTGGGGAGAGGTTCATAAACGGTTTCAACAGTGTTATCACTTTGTTTCTTTTTTTAAAAACCTGAAACAATTAAGGGAACACACTAAGATTTTATGATGCTGGTGGTGGCTTTATGGAAGTCAGTATATTTTTTTCTCTATATAGTCAATTAGTATACACAACATATGAAAAAAAACTCATCATCACTGGTCATTAGAGAAATGCAAATCAAAACCACAATGAGATACCATCTCATGCCAGTTAGAATGGCGATCATTTAAAAGTCAGAAAACAACAGATGCTGGAGAGGATGTAGAGAAATAGGAATGCTTTTACACTGTTGGTGGGAGTGTAAATTAGTTCAACCATTGTGGAACAAAGTGTGGCAATTCCTCAAGGATCTAGAACCAGAAATACCATTTGACCCAGCAATCCCATTACTGGGCGTATACCCAAAGGATTATAAATCATGCTGCTGTAAAGACACATGTACACGTATGTTTATTGCGGCACTGTTCACAACAGCAAAGACTTGGAACCAACCCAAATGCCCATCAATGACAGACTGGATAAAGAAAATGTGGCACATATACACCATGGAATACTATGCAGCCATAAAAAAGGATGAGTTCATGTCCTTTGCAGGGACATGGATGAAGCCGGAAACCATCATTCTCAGCAAACTATCGCAAGAACAGAAAACAAACACCACATGTTCTCACTCATAAGTGGGAGTTGAACAATGAGAACACAAGGACACAGGGAGGGGAACATCACACACTGGAGTTGGGGGTTGGGAGGGCTAAGAGAGGGATAGCATTAGGATAAATACCCAATGTAGATGACGGGTTGGTGGGCGCAGCAAACCACCATGGCATGTGTATACCTATGTAACAAACCTGCATGTTCTGCACATGTACCCCAGAACTTAAAGTATACATAAAAAAAGAAAAGAAACATTTTTTTCGAAGACACACACACACACACACACACACACACACACACACACACACACACAAAGTGAAGGAGAAAAGTGCTGACCTGCAGCTGCCCTCAGTGGGAGCTGACTTCTGCACCAACTCCCTCTCCCGCTCAATGGCCCTGGCCCAGTGCCAAACAGGACTGTGGGCTGGGCGGGTCCCCCTGGGATTCTGCCCCCCTGCAGACTAAGGCACCTGGGGAGATATGAGGCTGGACTGAATCCATCCCACCTTGATGTTCCTTACCCTGCACGAGGCTTTGGGGTGAAGGGCTAGGAAGAGTGGGTCCCGTCACACATTCCCCCAGCTGGCTGCCCTCTGTGCTTCTTACCTGCGGCCGCCCTGTGTGCCTCGGTGAACACTGTGTCTGGTGCAAAGGAGGTGTCCAAAATGTGTTTGTTGAATTGACCCAAGCCATTATCAGCACTTCAGTGGGCTGGGAGGACATGAAAATAGCTGCATGGTGAAGTGGTGTTTGCTGGTGCCTGTCCTGTCCTCTGCCTCTGCCAGCTCTCTCGCGACATTCCTTAGGCAACCTGGCCCGTTTGCAGGAGGCCGACAGCAGGTATTCAGAATTTTTAGGATTTGGGCTTAATTTCAGATAAGCAGGACAACCTGGGCTCCCCTACAATGAAAAATAGATTCTGCTGGTTTTTTTCTTGCCTTTTTTAACATTTCAAGGCAAGTTCCTATGCCCATCCACCCATATAAAACTTCCTTGTTCAGAAAGTCATCTGCGCAACTGGCAAAGGCACTAGCTCAGAGTTTTCTATTTTTATTCCTGTGTGTAATCAATGGGAACACACTGTGACGGAAATAAAGAATTATGAATTGATAAGAGCAAGCCATGATATTTGCTTTTGTTCCTGGGCAAGCTAGTGAAGGATCACATACCTAATGTGTAGAAATACAACAGTCATTTTATGCTTCTGTCTTTTTACAGAAGCACTCAACGATTTCTGTGTTTATTTTTAGGGAGGAAAAAGAAACACTTTCAAGATTCAAACTGGGTAAGCTTGGGAAAAGTTTTCCTGCAGGCTGATTTTCTAGAAACATTGAAATATAAGACATTATCAGCCCTTTCTCCTCTAAATTATTAACCTGTGACTTCAATACCTATTCTCTGTCATCCTCTTACAATAAAAAATAATTGATTCTCCAACTCAGTAACTATTGATAATTTTTTAAAAAACTCATTTCAAAAATTGTACTCTAACATAAACTGTTTTTTGTTTGTTTGTTGGTTTATGTTTTTTTTTTGGAGATGGAGTCTCGCTCTGTCACCCACGCTCAAGTGCAGTGGCACCATCTCGGCTCACTGCAACCTCTACCCATTTCTCCCCAGAAGCACGTTATAGAAAATGGAATTCTTTGTCCTTAAGGAAGGCCATAGAAACCAGAACTTCTCACCCCTAAAGCAAGCCATAAAACCTAGGAATTAACTCTCTGAGCAGCTCCCTTCTCCCCTGAAGACCCTCATGTGACAGGTATCCTGCCCTATACCTGGAGAAAATAGTGCTACTTTCGTATTTTTAGACATAATGCTATTGCACCCTTGATAGACTACAGTATGGTGCAAACACAACTTTCTCCCCCTCCTCTACTGTGAAGGGAATGTAACTTTTATATGCACCAAGAAACCAAAAAAATTTGTGTGACTCGCCTTATCGTGACAATTTGCTTTATTTCGTGGTCTGGAACTGAACCTGCAGTGTCTGCAAGGTTTGTCTGTACACATTTTGC